AGTGAGTCAGCCACCGCCCGAGAACGAGCACAACACAAGTGTGGCCCTCGATCTGCCGCCACGTCATGTGCGAGCTATGTTTACTGCAACGCTGAGTGAGCAAGCAGAGAAACTTCAGTTTGGTTGGCAAATCGGGTCCACAGGCCACATCATCTGGAGAGGAAAGTCCTCTATCATGATTGATCCTTCTTTGGTTGTGGTGAGTGATTGGCCTTACAGGACAACCATCATGCGCAGGTCAGATGATGAAGACTGGCTGGTGGCTGAGACCTGTGTGAAGTGGGCGGATCTTGCTGATATTGAGGGCCCGATTCCCGGAGGAGGAGAAGCAGAGCTGATTGTGGTTTTGCATCCGAAGCTTGAGCAGCTCAGTGATGTGGGCATCCAGTGCTCAGAGGAGGCATCTGCCTCTGTTGATATGCAGGTTGAGCCGCCTGCCTTGCATGAGGATGATGACCCTGGCGGGGCAGGTGATGTCCTGTTCGATCAAGAGCCGGGTGGAGTTGAAGCAGATGAGGTTGTGCCGCAGGATCCCGAAGCGGCAGCAGTTCTTCCTGACATGGAGGAGCCAGAACAGCTACCTCCTCCACCGGCCATCGAGGACAAGCTTGTGCTGGACGGTGTGGAGCTTACCGCACAGAGTACGATTGCTGCCTTGGCGAGTGCATGCGACAGACTTGGCTTGCGGCATTCCGGAAGCAAGCGCCGCCTCAATGAGCGCATCAAGGGGTACTTGCAAAAGCAACAGCTTTCTTTGTCTGCTGATATGACTCCTGATGCAGTTGCAAATGCCTCGCGAACTCCTTCTATGCAGTCCATACCGACACCGCCTTCGAGAGCTGAGCAGCTGCTACACGAGCTGACCCACGAGCCGTATGCGGCTTGGTGCCCCAGTTGCATAGCAATGCGAGCGCTTCCGGACCGAAGTGAGCGAACTGTTGATGCTCCGAGGGAAATTCCTCGAGTGTCGTTTGATTTCATGTACACTGGTTATGACGAAAGCCAGAATGAAGTTGTGCACAAGCCTGTTGTGGAAGGAGATGATCCCAAAGATCTGCTGTGCTGCTTGGTGTGCCATGATCAGGCAACATCCTCCATAGCATGTATACCGTGCCCCGGGAAGAGTGCTACGAGATACCTCGGTGTGGAGGTGATGCGTTTCGTGCAGAGCCTAGGGCATCCAACAGTTGAGATTTTCTGTGACAATGAGCCGACGACCATTCGGCTGCAAGGATGCTATCTGTGTTGCTAGAAGCCGGTTGGGCCTGAAGACTCTGAAGAAGAACCCTCCGATTGGGAATCATCAGAGCAATGGCGCTGTGGAGCGCACGGTGGATTTGGTCAGACGACTGGCTTGCACACTGTCGGATGTGGTGCGTCGTAAAACTGGTTGTTCGATCACAGTGAAGCACCCTCTGTTTGCATGGAGTTTCAGCCACGCGGCGTGGATTCGAAACCACTTCGCCGTTCAAGGCGGATTGACGCCTTATGAAAGATGCTATTCCACGGCCTACAAAGGAAAGCTTGTGCCTTTCGGAGAACCTGTCTTCGGGCAGATCGTGCCCAAGCGGAAGGGCAATGCCAGGTGGCTGAAGGCCGTCTTTGTCGGCAAAACGCGCAGCAATGATCAATACCTCATTGCAAGCAGGCCCGGCATTCGAACATGCCGGAGTGTACGTCGCACTGGCCATGAGTGGAGCCAGGACAAAGAGCTGTTCAACAATCTGACAGGACAGCCTTGGGATTACAGTTCCGGCGTCTATGAGACGCGGCTGGTGCCACCGGCAAAGACCAGAAAGCCTCAAGCCTTACCAGTTCCTGGAAGTCCTCAAGATGAAGCCGCCTCGGACCCGCCAACTCCTGTGCCTTTAGGGTTTAGGCCCCCTGAGAGTGTTGGCTTGGGTTCTAGTTCCGCCACGCCTGCTGCCATGCTTCCTCCCACACCTGTGGGACCAGGATCGAGCCAAGATGCGCCGGGGCCCGCTGAGGTTCCGAGCAAGCGAGCTAAGTTGCACTTGTCACGGCCTCCGCCTGAGAGCGCAAGAGTTGCTGACGCACCAGTGTTGCCACATGTTGCCCCTGGTGTACCAAATCCTTCTTTGAGTATTCCTTTGGGACCTCAAACCCCTGAGTCTGTTCTTGAACCAATGCCTGAGCAGCCTGATGCTGCTATGTTGCCTGCCGAGACGGCAGCAGTGGAAGAGCGAGCTTCCAAGATGCCAAGAATTCGTACAGTTACTTTTGGTGATCGCAGTTATGATCTCAACGATGAAGGCTATGATGCTGACTTTGCGGAATGGGAGGACCCCGAGACCTTCCTTCAGATGTCTGATCAATGGTCGGACGATGAGGGCGCCAATGCGGCGCATGCAGAACCCGACTCGGCTTCCTTGAACGAGGCGGGGCAGCCACTTGAAGATTCGTTGTGGTTTAAGGACACGGGCCATGAACCTGTTCCTACTCCTGATGAGTTGTATGCCTTGGACAGGGTTGCAGATGAAGTAGAAGTGAGCCGCTTGATCAGGAAAGAGGTTCTTCGGCCGGTCTGTGATCAGGACAATGTTCGAGCAATGAAGAGTTTATCTACTAAGATGGTACGAACATGGCGTCGCAAGCGCCGTGGCGGGGTACCGCATTTTTTCAGAAGATCCAGACTTGTGGCCAGGGAGTTCCGCTGGCTTGAAGAAAAGCAAGGATCGTTTTCACCTTCGACCACAACGAACGTGGTCAAGATCATACCGTTGCTCTTCCTGATATGGAGAATCACTAGACCTGGTGTTACCTACGCCATAGCCTATCGATATAAAGGATGCGTACTTGGAAGTGCCACAGGAGGAGCCAGTCATGGCTGGACTGCCCCAAGACTACATAGGAGCCGGTAAGTTCGTGTTCCTAAAATGTGTGCCTGGTCAGCGTGATGGAGCACAACGTTGGTTCAACCATTATGTCGACTTGCTCAAGTCAAAGATGCCTCTTGAGTCTTGCGTTGAGAACCCTGCGATCATGAGAGTCCCTGAAGGACCAATGCTTATGCATGTTGATGATGGACTTACGCTTGGACCGTTGGAGTGGCTCAAACAGTCGTACATTCCTACGTTGAAGACGCGGTTCGAGATTTCTGTCGAGATCGCCTACCAATTGGGTGACACGTTTTCTTTTCTAAAGCGCAAACACACTATTTTGGAATCTGGTATTCTCATAGAGACACCGGAAACCTACATCAGACACATGGCTTCCATCCTTGGTGTTAAGCACGGATCAAGTCACAACACGCCATATCTTCCCGAGCTGATTCGCGATGATCAGACAGCTGCCCTTTCTGCTGCTGATGGTTCTAAGTTCAGGAGCGCACTTGGAGTTGCATTGTATTTGTCCAACGACAGGATTGACATTTGCTACACTGTGAGACTTCTTGCAGGATTTATGGCTGGGCCTACGGCATTGGCTATGCGCGGCCTGGTTCGCCTCACAAAGTATCTGATGAACACCTCGAGCTATGCTACTTTGATTGCACCAAAGCGGCCAGGATCTTCAGTGTTTCATGAATCACGTGCGGATGACGAGAGCTCTACATGGAGATCTACTCGGACTCTGACTGGAGCGGAAACAAGGTTGCCCGGAAGTCCTTTGGTTGTGCGAGCTTTGCAGTGAACGGTGGAGTCTTTCACCACATACGCCGAACACATCGTACAGTTTCCTTATCTTCCGCGGAGGCAGAATGGTATGCTGGGATATCGTCTTCATGCGAAGGACTGTTCCTGCGAGCTGTTTTTACATTCATGTCACAAGAGAGTTGCAGCTTGCATCTCAAGATGGACAATTCTGCTGCCCGCCAGTTGGCGTTGCGTCAAGGAGTAGGGAACAAGACGAGACACGTTGCAGGTCGCTTGTTATGGCTACAACAAGCTGTTCGTGAAGGCCTCTTGACGGTGAGCGCTATCGCCTCGGCATATAACCTCGGAGATCTTTCCACTAAAATGCATGCAGCGAATCGCTTGAAGTGCTTATTGTTTCTCCATGGTGTTGCTGATTGCGACACTGCTCGAGCAATCGGCAGTGATGAGTTCGAGGAAATGGTGCTGAGAGAATCTGTTAAAGCTCAGGTGAAACGAGTGCGCATCGAGTACCCGAAGGAGCATGGATGCACGCCCCACCTTTCGGGCAATGCAAACAGGCTTGCAAAGCAGATTGCAATGATGACTCTTCTGGCTATGCCACAATGCGGTGAAGCTGCAGATGATGGTGGTGGCCACTTTACGCCACGTGTGACTTCGATGTGGATTGCAGCTTTCGGATGTATGCTTCTGCTGTTGTATCGAGCCTTGAGCTGGTTGCGGAATCAGGGCTGCGACTTCAACATGTTGGTCGAGCTCACAACGGCGGATGTTGGATCGAGCATGCTTACTGCAGTGCTTGTTGCATTCTCAATGATCCCTGAGATGAGTGCTGAGCTGTGGATGATCGTGCTGCTCATTTACATCATCATGCAGCAGCGCCGTGGACCTGAGTCAAGTGTGAAGCCTTCTGCTGAGCATACACGTGTGAGTGCCGCTGAGAGTGCTGTGAAGCCGTCTACTGCAAGTAGCTCTGAAAGTGCAAGCGCTGGTATCCCAAGTGAAGTTGTGTACTACTGCTCCGTGAACGGTAATTGCTACCACAAGGAAGGGTGCCATGTTCTTCGTACGGTGCATTCGAAGATTCGGAAGTATCGTCCATGTGTATATTGCGCCGATGCGGACCACAAAGGTTAAAGCATCGTGTACTGTTTGAACAAAAGCCGGATGAGCTTTGCATAGTGCTACAGCTCAGGCGGGGTGTGGACTTTTGACAACATGTACACGCCTCATTTTCCGGCTAGGTTTTGTAACCACGTGAACCTTTTCCACATGTCATGTGTCAGGAGTGCATATGGCATGGCATGGAACCGTACCGCAGGCTCTTAGCTGCTTGGAAAAGACCGTTCTTTTGTTCACAACTACAAGGACGTGGTCAAGGACGAGATGATCACGAAGCTGCCCCGACCAGGGATTTGGGACTTGATGAAGTCTTTGAAGGTGAATCGAAGGGCGCGCAAGCGCCTGTTGAGGGCTGAGTCGTGGGCGCTACGATGGGACCCGCCCACTGTGGAGCGGTTCAAGGATCCGTTGAAGCATTTGGCGTTCCTTGGAGGAGTTGTGTATGTGAATGTGAACTCGATGTTGGTGGACAATGAGTTCGGGGATGTTTGGAAGGTGGTACAGTGGGCAGCCCTTCAGGGAAGGATCAGTGCCATTGTCTCCCGTGACTGCCTACCTCGCCACTTGGACCAATTGGCCGCAGGACCCCACCGCAGCAAAGTTCACTTTCTCCATGCCCTTGCGTGTGCTGGGAAACAGCGAAATGATGGAGCCTCTGTTAAGTTCTACGTTGAAGACATGGACCGCATCAACTACAACCGTCAGCGAGTAACAGAGGACAATGCGGATACTTGGCCGGCGTGGACTGAATGCCAGGACACCAAGGAGTACCTGGACGAAATGGGATTGTTGGACGTATCAATCTCTACGTTCACAGGGGCACGCCATGTACGATTGGCGAAACTCAGTGATGATGCCTCCTGGAGACTACATGTGGCTCGGAATCATCAGCCTTTTCGAAGGGATTGCGCTGTATGTGTTAGAAGCAGTGCAACGGGCCATCAGCACCGAGCCTCCCTACACCCTATGGCCTACAGCTTGAGTGTGGATGTTGTGGGCCCTCTCAAAGGTTATGGACGGTCCCCTGACGGCAAGTTCTTTCGGTACTTTGTCATCGGCGCCCTCAGGATTCCAGAGGTGGACGGAGGGTGTGGACATTCTGAAGTTCGAGGCCATCCAATTCCTATGGAACCTGGAGATCAGGAGGAGGAGGAGGAGGAGGACCAGTTATCTGAGGATGAGGCCGGTGAGGCTGATGATGGAGTTGATGGAGCGGGTGTTGATCCTGCTGAAGTTGTTGACGAAGAAAGAAAGTGGACAACACGATGCTCCCAGCGGTTCAACGTATTGTGATGGACATCAAAGCACTGGGATATCCGGTTACCAGGTTGCATACGGATCGTGGAGGTGAGTTTCGTGGGAATGCGGTGCGAAAGTGGGCTCTTGCGCAAGGAATGTGGCCTACGACGACTTCGGGATCTGACTCGGCAGCAAATGGAGTCGCAGAATCAGGAGTGCGATTCTTGAAGCGGAGGGCTCGCATCCTTCTAGACTCCGCCGGGATTGGAAAGGAACACTGGCCCACAGCAGTCCAGCGCTACAAGACGGGTGCGGTGGAGGACTTTGGCCCGCACTGGACCGTTGGTCGCTACGCGGGACCGTCTACGGATATCAGGGGTGGACATGTGATCTTGAAGGCCACGGGCACGTTCATTCAGACCACCTATGTGAGAGTTGCCAGGGATCCGCCATCTCTGGACGAAGTAGCTCCTACTGTGATTGTGGAGCCAGACGATTCCGGAGGCGATCTCTCTAATGAACCTCCTCTACCACCACCTGCGCGACCACCACCACCACCAAGGCGGATGAGAGCCAAGGCCCCTTCCGAGTTCAAGGTTGACGGGTTCTTTGAGGATTTCGAGATGATGTCAAATGAACCTGGGCAGCAGAGCCTAGAGGATGAGGAGGAGGCGGCCCTCAAATACTTGAAGTTTGACGAGATACAGTATGTGGAGGGCATTGCAGAAGAGATGCTAAGGGAGTCCCGGTTTGAAGATCATGATGGTGCGGGGTTGCTTTCTTTGGTGGCAAGTACGTGCGGGAGCTTGAAGGTTCCAAGAGCTCCGGGAGGTCAGGGGCTAGTGATGGGAGCATTTGTTCATGGTGGTTCCTTTGGTGTGACCCGATATGGGCGTGACCTTCCTTGGGTGACCAAGTTCTTCAATGCCTACATGAAAAAGAAGTTGACCAAGAACTGGCCGCACCTCAATTACGCATGGACCACCCTCGTGATTCAGGCGGACTATGGGTTCAGGACCTGGACTGTCAAAGACGAGTGGTTGGAGGCAGTGACCCCCAGGACTACCAGTACCAGACTGCAGATGATGAGGTTCATGATGGTTGTTTGGTGAATGTCCAGGAAATCCCGGCGGTGTTTGATCCGTTGGTTCCCCACGCCTACGTCCCGGAGGATGGAGTGAAGTGGTTTTTGTCTGCTTATACGCCGCAAGGGAGTAGCAAGTTGTCAATGAAGGACAAGGAGTACTTGAAGTCCGTTGGTTTCCCCATGGATGGTTCTGAGTCCCATGGAGGAGATCCCAATGGGGTGCTGGAAACCAGACCGGCACTAAATGCAGTTTCCTTCCCATGTGAGGGTGCGTGGAGCCGAGCTCGTGTACCAGAGGATGATGTGGAAGCTGCAACCGCTGGGGATTGTGAGGCCACCTTTTGCGATTGGGCCATGTATACCGACGCGGTTGGTGAAGGTGATGAACGCGGACTGGATGCTCCTTCAGGTGTACGCCGTCTTTGTAAAGTGTGTGGATCCGACGATCCTGGTGATGAGTTGGAGGCCCTGACGACCTTGGCAAATGTTCTGGATGGAGATGCGATGTTTGGGGAGGCCACAGAGGACTTGAGCATCAATGTCGAGTTCTGGTCTTCTTTGGGTTTGTATGATAACCCTCGGCTTGCCAAGTTGGAGCCGGAATATGTTGAGAACATCGAGAAGATCATCCAGGAGGCCAGGGACTCGAGGACCCCGTTGCGGCACACCTACAATGTGAGCCCTCAAGAGGCGAAGCAGGTGATCCATAAATGGAAACCAGCAATTGAAAAGGAGCTGGGCGTGGTTGAAAAGGGGTTCCTTAGAGTGGATGCGAAGGACATCGCAATTCTCAAAAAGAAGTACGTGGTTCAGGAACTTCCATCAAAGCTGGTCTACACCGTCAAGCCGCCCAACACCGAGAAAGATGACACCTCCGAAGAATACTACTGTCGGAGGAAAGCGAGAATAGTTTGTTGCGGCAACTATGCGGCTGAGGACCAAAGTGAACTGTTTGCCGGTGGTGCGGCGGCAGAAAGTCTCCGATGTAGCCTGGTGTATGCGCTCAAGCGACTTTGGCGAGCAGCCATAGTCGATATCGCCGGAGAATTTATGCTCACCCCGCTGGCTCATGAGGAGGGCGGTGTCGTCTAGATCATACGACCCCCAGCAGCTTTGATACAGCTGGGATTGGCCAAGGAGTCCGAAAGATGGATGCTCACGCATGGCATGTATGGCCTACGACAATCTCCAAAGTTGTGGGCGTCGTTCCGGGACACCTCCATGAGCGAAATGAGCGTTGAGGCGGAGGGAAAGCAATGGATGATGCTGAAGGGCCGGGCGGAGCCTAACCTATGGCTTGTCTACGAGGTTGGTGCGGCTCTTACCAAGGAGCCGGTAGCGTTGGTTTTAGTCTATGTGGACGACATCCTCTTGTCAGGACCGTTATGGCTGGTGACGGCGTTGGCAAAAATGATTGGCCAAAAATGGAAGACCTCGCCGCTGGATCTCCTGACCCCAGATCATGATGTGAGGCTCTTGGGTTGTGAGCTTTCTACCAATGAGGATATGGATGCCATCTACGTGCACCAGCTGCCCTATATAGAGGAGATCTTGCGGCTCCACGAGGTGACTCCGGAGGAGCAGTCGCATATCCAGGCCCCTCGCGAGATGGTAACCTTTGAAGCTTTTGAAGGTGAAGAAGCAGGCACCCCCGATGAGGTGCGCCAAGCCCAAAGGCTTTGTGGAGAGCTGTTGTGGCTGGCACAAAGGTCGAGGCCGGACGTGAGTTTTGTGGTAAGTGCCATGGGCTCTCTGTTGACGAGGGCGGCCCCTCGATGCCTACGTGTTGGTCGCCGGCTATTAGCCTACCTGCAGCGCACCAAGAATCTGGCATTGACTTTGAAGCCGGTGGGTTCAGAGCTCATTGCGTTCTCGGACAGCAGCTTTGCCCCAAGTGGCTCGAGGAGTCACACGGGTATTGTGTTGACATGGATGAACTCTCCGATCAGCTGGAGTTTATGTAAGCAGCCTTTCACATGCCTGAGTACGGCGGAGTGTGAGCTTGTTGCTGCCATTGAAGCGTTGACGATGGCAAAGTCGATTGAGGTTGTCTTACGGCAGTTGGACAACGGGCTGGGGAAGATTATCCTCGGCATCGACAATCAGGCGGCCATTTCCATAGCAACGCCTACTACAAATTCCTCGTGGCGAACACGCCACTTGCGGGTGAGGGCGAGCTACATCCACGAGCAGATTGAGGACGGCCAGGTCATTGTTCGATATGTCCCTGGCAAGGATCAATGGGCAGATTTGCTCACAAAGAGCTTTCCTCGACAACGACTGGGTGAACTCACAATGTTGTGGGGATTCGTTGACACCGCCGCTGAGGTGATGAAGACAGCGGCGGTCCGGACCATGTTGTTATGTCACCTAGTGCAGACAGCGAGGGCCCAGAGAAAGGATCCTTTACCTCTTGATAGCTCGATGGAGTTGTACGTCATCGTGCTGATGGTTGGCATTGCCCTGATTGCTCTTTGGGAGGCCTTGTGGTGGCTGTGGGATAAATGCTGCTCGAGCCCGACTTCTTCCCGGTCGGCTAGAAGGCTCAGAGGGATTCAGGAAGCCGTGCAGCGGGAACTGGCAGCTCAGATGGCCCAGCGCGAGAGCATCCCGGCGACGCCACCGGTGGCTACGGAACCTACATCTACACCTGCGCGTATGACCCCCCGTAGAACCAGGGGAGCATCGTCTTCTACTACACCGAGCCGGACTCCGGCTACAGTCTTGGGGTCACCAGGGCCCCGGCGAGTTCGAATGGTGGATTCGGCTACGCAAACAGTGATGGACAATGACTACGTGCCTATTGTTGAATACCTCGATCGTGATGTGCCGGTTCCCGTACCTCATCCAGGACCGGTCTTAGTGAGCCCCAATGGAGATCACTTCCACACTGTGCCGAACTGCTGGGGATCGAGGAATGTGGCAAGGCCAAGACGTCTGATGCTATGTATTCTTTGCCAGAACAACGGCGGACGCTCGTTGTACTGAAGGGGTATGCACCTGCCCGTAAAGGTGAGAATGTGTGTCACGACCGAGAAGGTCATGACAAGGAGGAGTGCTGAAACCCTCCGCTCAGGTGCATGTCGCGTGCCGCGATACCAAGGCCCAAGGAGGCCGCAGCTTGCAGCATAGGCAGGACTTCAATCAGTGCAAAGCACGACTTAAGTCATAGGCCAAGCAAGCACCAACAACGTTCGCTAGGCTGCTAAAAAGAGAGCTTTCGAAATTCGTGAGTCATGGCCGCCCCCGCTGACAATTCTGCAGAGTCTGGGTCTCGCAACCCTCAGCGCCTGGTTTCGGAACTCTATGTTCGAACCTGGGGTTTGGGATCTCTATACTGGAACCCCGGGTTCCGGAACCCCCCCCCCGATCCCCCAGGGAGTTCGAACCCTGGGTTCGGGAACTCCATGTTGGAACCCGGGGTTTGGGGAACTCTATGTTGGAACCTCGGGTTCTGGAATTCGTCCCCCCCCGGGGCGTTCGAATCCTGGGTTCGGGAACTCCACGTTTGGGGGGGGCTGCGCCCCCCCCAACCCCCCCGCTGTTTTTAGAAGCTTGCCGAAAACAAAGAAAAAGACTGCCAATGACCAGTCCCTGCCACAAAAAAAGAAGAAGCCACACGAAACCGCTTTATGGGTGGTTTTTGCGAAGAAATAAAAGAAAGACAAGACAAAGAAAAAGATTGTCAATGAGGAGGAGTCTTTCTTCTCAAGGGGGCTTCAGAAGGGGCATGAAGTCTCCTACGAGAATGCTAAAGCCGCGAACAAATGAACCGCCCAACCGCGGGTTCGAACACCAACAATCACCAAACAAAAGGAGAAGAAGCCACACAGAATCGCTTTGTGGGTGGTTTTGCGAAGAAAATTAACTGAGAGCACACTACAATAGAAACCACAAACTCAAACGCAAGCACAAACAAAAGAAGAAGAAGCCACACGAAATCGCTTAATGGGGGTTTTTGCGAAGAAAATAAAATGAGAGAACAAGAAGCAATGATACAAGAGTTCGAAGTCTGGGTTCGGAAACTCCATGTTCGAAATCTAGGTTCGGAAACTCCATGTTCGAAACCTGGGTTTCAACTCTTTAGGGCCGCCAGAGTTCGAACCCTGGGTTCGCATTCAGAGTTCAACTCCAGGTTCAACTCCAGTTCAAGAAGTTCGGAGTTGAGTTCAACTTGGAGTTCAACTCAAAGTACGAACCCAGGGTTCGGAGGGAACTTCGATGTTCGAGCCCTGGGTTCGAGGCTCCGAACTCTTAGTTCGGAGTTCCAGAACCCTGGGTTCGGAACTCTAAGTTCCAAACCTTGGGTTTGAACACCCCCCAAAAAACCTATGTAGATGCCGACCAGCATGCGGCATCGAGCACACCTACCAATGCCGTCTTCTCGACTGCTTCGGTATCCTTTGCCTCTGCTCCGGCCGCGCGGCGGCCGTCCTGAGCAAGCAATTGCTCGCTGTACACACAGCACCAGACATTGACCCGGCCAAGACATACATAAAGCAGGTCAAGAGTTGCATTCGCCAAGATGCGCTTGTGCATTGATGCGATCAATTATCTGGCCAGACTGTTGAAGCGCGCTACGGCAGAGCAAGTGCCGCTTTCGGACTTTGGCAGCATGTTTTTCGGCTGAATTAGGAGAAGGCAGCGCGTGGCACTTTTCGCCACAATTGCTGTCATCTGCACATGCCTTGCGTTGCCTCTCGATAGCTAGTGTCCGTAAGCAAGACGCCCGTTCATGCTCTGGGGTAATAGACGCTCTCTTCGCCATGAGTTGGCTGTACCGACCGTCTGCTGACAAGAGACGGATATATCGGGTGGAGTCCGGGTTCTCAAACGATTCGCTGGAGTCTGCTTGGATTTGTTTACGCCTCCGTTTCCAAGCAGTTGCCCACCTCGGACGAACATCGGCTCCATCGTCGACAGTGGAGAAGCGGCAGCGACCATCATGAGCCGAGACTGAGGCAGATGAATATCGACTGTACGAGCTGCCTTCGCCGTGGCGGCAGCATCAAAAGCTACTCTAGTTGGCTCTGCTCAGACACTACGCCCAAATCCAGCTGGAAGACGTCCTTGCATCGGAAGGACAAGCAGCATCGGCGTCTGGGCAGAGGCGGCCTGCGATCTTCCGGGTATTGGTTTTTTTTTTGGCGTGAATGGGCCTCGTCGACTACGGCTGTAGCACTCGGTCCCTACAAGCAAACTAACAAACTACAAAGCACAGAACTACAAAACAGTGAGACTAAAGCGAAGCTCTGCAAGCTGCGGCGCACAGGCTTTGCCGGTGGGAGCCGTTCAGCAAACTAAGAAGCCTCAGCGACCGATCCGAAGCAACAAAGAGCCGTCGCTCTGAGCCGCCCAAAGCAACAGGTGGAGCCGAATCCAAGCTCCGGCAGCCGTTCTAGTCTCGACAGACAACGGACAGCCCCTGTGCTTTGTTTCATCACGATCGAGCACACCAAAATCCAAAAGTCCAACGCCCATCGCGGCGAGCGGCTTCAAGACATGATGCGGAGCCAGAGTCGTTGCGACTCAAAGCCGGCCAGCTGCGGCCGCACGCCGAGGACGAGACAATCGAATCACGGTGTGCAACAGTGGCGAATTGGGCGCCGGCGTCCAACGCCGCCAATCGCCGCCCACAGGTCATGTGGCCAGGCCAGGATGTGGGCCGTAGGGAAAATATGGTGTGCGTCGAGACCCAGCACAGCGCAACTCAGGAACGTTCCAAGAACGGCAACGGGTCGCCCCTGGCGAGGCTTGGGCCAAGGCAAGACGGTGCGGCTGCTCGGATGGGACGGGCCCTTGCCGCGACCTGATGCTGGTGGCTTAAGAGCTTGCACCCGGCGCAATCCTCCGTGCCATTCCAACCCTTGGTATTTTGCCCTGCTCGTTTATCCAGGTGTCCGCCCGGCATGGCGGCTGGACTCGAGACACGCAGGGAAGCTGGGCACATGGGCGACGCGTCCGCAGCTGCAAGGCAGGTTGCCGATGCCATGAAAGCTGCACCTAGTCTCGGATATATCTCAAGATCTACTCGGACTCTGACTGGAGCGGAAACAAGGTTGCCCGGAAGTCCTTTGGTTGTGCGAGCTTTG